TTCCCCTTATCCCCTCTTTTCGCGTGTGCGAGAGAGAACGCACAGACACGAAACAGAGTGCATCCTTTTCTACGTGAGCTCTACCCCCACTCCTGAAATTTGAGAGAACCAGCAGTCTAGATATACTATGTCTATGCATGGACCTAAGAATCTCTGGACCGAGCATGCGGCGAGGGGGCTGGCAAATTTGCGGTAAGGGGGGCGAGAGTGCTCTCCTTTTCTGTCCTCTTGGACCTCTCTTTCTACAAGAGGTCACAGTGACCTCTTGTAGAAAGAGATACCATGAGATACCAAGAGGACAGAAAAGGAGAGCACTCTCGCCCCCCCCTTACCGCAAATTTGCCAGCCCCCTTGCCCGTTCTCCCACTTCGTGCTCGGTCCAGAGATTCTTAGGTCCATGCGTGGACCAAGTTCTAAAGGCCTGTAATATAACACATGCCTGTTATATTACATTTGCATTGATGTAATGTAATTGTTACTTTGGTGTTTGCTGGGCTGTGTTCACGTTGCTAGAACTTGGTCCAAGTTGTAGTTTCGAGAAATGTGTGGCCAATTAACTTGCAGCTATTCCATAAAAGCTGCAAGTTGATTGACTACAACTTGGACCAAGTTAAAAATGCGTTAAAAAATTCATGTAAAAGGGTTCTGTATAAATACGCGACACGGCCCTGCCTAGAAAATTCCATGTAAGGACCCACTTGGTGCGGCCCTGACTCGAGCCGCCTACGCCGCTCTAGTAGTAGGGATGGCCGCCATCTTGGGCCACCATCTTCAAAATTTTAGTATAAATGTGGAAGCACAACGCTCGGAGCTTCAATTCGAAGCCAGCTCCCGACCTGCTAACACCTAGTCCTAGTTGAGTCCTTGTAACTTTACCAGAAAATATACTTGAATATTTTACCACTTTTTAACCTTACTAACTTCCATTCTTGTCGAATATTACGTAACGAACCTTGGACAGACTGGTGCGTACCCACGCACGGTATTGACAAGGCTAGTAGTGGATGCTCCATGGTGCGAACCTCCGCACGGGGAATCCTCTTGTAATAACGACTTTTTCCACGCACAACCTCCAAATTTTCAATGCCCAGCAGAACCCGGCGAGCTGGAAGGAAGTACCAATTGCGCAGACTTGCGTATGAGTACAGACATGCTCCCGCGACCGACATCGGTCTCGGGATAACGCCGTCCAGTTATTTACAAGAAACTATTGAAAGTGAACCTTTCAAGTTGACGTCGTTGAGTGATGAGTACCCAGACCTGCCGCCTCGAGATATTCCTGAGGAAGATCCACGCCGCTCCCTAGAGTCGAGGGACGAGTTCCTGGATAATTCTTACGGAGGCGCCAGTCCAACTTCGTCAACTAAGGAAAAACAAATTTTCCACAAGGTAAGAGTGACATACTTATCCAACGAACAGGAAAATTGTTTTCCGACTTTGTTTTTCTCGCGACCCTTCGGGTTCACTTTTACTTTTTCCGTTCAACGCAAAAATTCTCCGTCATTACACGTAGCATATCTTTAATGTGATCCTTCGAATAGCGAGTCCATTCGCGGGTGAAGTTACCCTCCCTATTTCTCAAGAGCGTATCCGCGGATTTCCTATCAGCTGGATATACTCGGCCCTCTGTAGAGAAACGCGATTTTACCTTGATCTATCAGAGAATAAAAAGAACATTTGTTTGGATTGTCATCGTGTCAAACCAGCCATAGAGCAGAGCGATTTCCAATTTACCTTGCGACGATTCATTTATATCGGATATACCGTCACTGATAACAAGTGCTCTGAATGCGGAGCGGGACTTTTGATTCACCGGCCTGTGACGGATTGCGTGTTCTGTTTTCAAGTATTGAAAGATTTTCTTAAGTATTGCGAGAAGGTTGCAGATCGCCCTCACGACGACCCCGTAAAGGCCTTCACACATAAAATTCCGTAAGGACGTAAAACGTAAGCGTAAGAAAATCAACAGGTTGGATTTGCTACTGCTTGCGTCATTGCCTTACGTTCTCGACTGTGATTGGTCGATTTTCTTATGCTTACGTTTTACGTCCTTACGGAATTTTATGTGTGAAGGCCTTAACCACGGTCTTATACACAGGTCGGGACACTCGTGGAATAAAGCGTGCTCGAAATGACGCCAATATGGCGGCCAGCTCAGGGGAGCGATCACGTGCACCGATCGAATTCGAATTCGAGAAGGAATATGCCATCCGATACCACTCTTCGTACATGATCAATCTATGGTCTGAGGGAAACTATCCTATAATAAATAAGCATGAACCATGAAACCTGTAGAGTAGAAACGTATGAGAAGTCGACCGATCGAATTCGATCGTGCACGCGATCGCTCCCCAGGCCTGTTTTCGCAGCGCATGCGCAAAATCCAGTGCTCCTTCCGACTATCATGTTAAATAATGGATTTACAAACATCAGTTTATTAGTATCTCCATACTATTTTCAATTAAAAAAAAACCTTTTTTTTCGCCTTTGTGGATTGCTGGCATTAACCGCCGCTGACACTCCTTCCCATCTGCAGGTATTAACCGCCGCAGACACCCCTTCCCATCTGCTGGCATTAAAGCCTATCACACAATGCGAGGCAACAGGCAACAGGAATAGGGAATAGAATTTTTGACGCGTTGGATTCGTCGGAAATTTTCCTTCAACCAATCCAACGCGTCAAAAATTCTATTCCCTATTCCTATTGCCTGTTGCCTCGCATTGTGTGATAGGCTTAACTACCGTGGAATATGCCCGTGGCTGTGGCATTGAACCGCCGGGCTACACTTAACTCTGAAATGTTTTTTCATTAGATGGTAAAACGCGGGCACCGTTCCGGGCGTCAACATCGGGGACGTATGGAGAAGTATCTCCGCAGACTGCGGAAAGTGTTAGTTATCGTTTTGAACGTCTTCGACCAATTTCTGTTGGACACGACGGCAGCCCGTTCAGGAACGTTGCGACGCGAACTCAATATTCAAGACCAGCCTGCGGCCAGCCGTAATTTCTCGGTGTCCAGCGACTCTACACTCCAGCATCGAGAAGCATCGATCTCTCGTATTCCCCAAATTATAGAAGAAGACGAAGACACATTGCCTTATCCAGATTGGCAATCAGACGATAATAATGCGTCTAAAACATCTACGTCCACTAACGTGGATTAAGTAGATTCGAGAATTATAATCCAGGAGATTCTGATGAGTTAACATCTACTACTTCAGAATAAAACTTTGTGCCCTCATCTAAGTCTAGATTAATTTCAAATAAGTTCCTGACCACCTGCCCTATCCAACCGACTCCAGGGGTGCTTTC